ATTAAATGGAATTAAAACAAACTTACTTTTTTTGAGGCAAGTCGCCCTCTTGAGGACTTGAACCCGGGACCTTTGGATTTGTAGATACACTAACTGATTGAGCCATACACGCATCACATTTGGTATTGCCCGAACAAGGTTTATGAATTTTAGTGTGACACAATTCAAAAACAGCGATTTTTTACATATATATTGCCTCGGACAGATTAAACAAAGTTTTAAATAAAACTAAAGCATCACCTAGCAAACAGAAAACAAAAAAAAAATGTACAGAGACTGGGAATTGAACCGAGGACCTCGAGTGTTTGATTTGTTTAGTGTTAAATTTCTCAAGACATTTACACTCTAGGCTATATTTTTTGATCATATGTGTTTCATTTGCAACTAGTTAAATTCCAGTTGCCTTTTAACTAGACCCTAACATGTATTTGTTCTACCAGTTAAATATTTTTAAGGTTTTTTTTGTCAGAAAGGTACTAGTCCGAGACAAGTTTATTTTTTACTAGTTTTGTATTAATCATTTTTTCGACTAGCACAAATTTTCTAGACCCTGTGTAGTCCAAATGCATTCAGAAAAATTCCGGTTGCTTTATTTTAGTTGTATTACTAGTTGTTTTTCAGACTAGTTCGCATATTTCCTGCAGGGGTCTTCAAAGTTTTCTTTAAAATTACTCATACGACATGTATAACATTTCGAATTTGGTCGAACAAAATCGATCTCCCATTTCTTGTCTTGTCAAATTATGAATTTCGTTGGAATAATTGGTAAAAAAAGGAGAGCAAAACATCAACTGAATTGTTGATATCTATGCCACCTTGATCAGAAAAACCTTTTGATCGAAGGCAACAGTGCGTATGGGTGATAAACTTTGAAACCAATTCGCAGACCCTAAAACACGATTTAAAAAAAAAATTTTTTTTAGTATACCTTGAATACCACAATGCGCACCGTATAAGCGGGTGAGAGTAGGACCTTAAAATTTTCCATACAAATGTGGACCGCCCTAATGGCCATACATAATATAAGAGCACAAAAGATAACCAAATCAAAACTAAGTATACACACTTATTAAAAAAAAAAAAAAAAAATGTTAAAAAAATATACCTATATATAAAAACAAATTAATAACACAAAAAAAATTTTTGGCTATAAATAATATAATTTTTCTCAAAGTTTGTAAAATTAATACTAGAAAATAACTCCATTATATTACGTTATTTTTCAAAAGGAGGGAGATGTAGTATGCACACTAGGGCGGTCCACATATGTATTGAAATTTTTAAGGTCCTACTCTCACCCGCTTATACGGTGCGCATTGTGGTATTCAAGGTATACCAAAAGACAATTTTTAAAAAAATCGTGTTTTAGGTTCTGCGAATTGGTTTCAAAGCTTATCACCCATACGCACTGTTGCCTTTAATCAAAAAGTTTTTCTGATCAAGGTGGCATAGATATCAACAATTCAGTTGATATTTTGCTCTCCTTTTTTTTACCATTTATTCCAACGAAATTCATAATTTGACAAGACAAGAAATGGGAGAGCGATTTTTTTCGACCAAATTCGAACTGTTATACATGTCGTATGAGTATTTTTAAAGCAAACTTTGAAGACGTTTCGCAAGGTCTAAATCTCGAAAATAAATTGTTTTGTTTTCACATACATTTTTTGCATACTTTAATATACCATGTTAAGGGGTGAGAAAAGAATTTCATTTTTTGGACCGCCCTAATGCACACATATTAAATATATATATCGAGCACCCACTGTACCAAGAGTACAGTGTTTATACAATTCAAGGTCTCGGTCATCAACATAAATGCCCGAGATACAAACCGCTCGCTGTGCCTAGGCCTGCACGCTGAAAGTGCAAGTGTCAGCATACTTGCAACACGAGCGGACCTCATGCATGTGCATATATCTCCGCGATCCGGACTAAGAGAGCATAGCTATATACTTTAGAATATAAGAATATACAGGCCGTCTCTCCGCTGCCGCTGCTGGCATCGCCGCTACGGTACTTACACCTTTTTACCTCCTAAGTAAATTGGGCTCGACAAGAACCTCTGACGAGCTTGGAGCGGCAACAACGGCTGCTCCTATAGCTCAACCTCAAATTAATAAAAAACTCTATCTTTAATAAAAATTACAAGAATAAATTGGAAATGAATTATTATTGATGGCGGGAGAAAAAACATATTTTTACAGCCGACTGACGTCAAATTATCGCAAATTGAAGGAACCTCAGCTTTAAAACTTCAAAGGGTTCGATTTGATGACAACATCTCACTTTACTGCGATGTTTCTACAGGAAGCGTTCGTCCTTATGTACCCAAATCTTTCCGCAATGCTGTGTTTTCGTTCATTAACGGTTTGTCTCATCCCAGTGGTCGGTCAACAGTTCGTCAAGTGCGCCAAAAGTTTGTATGGCCCTCGATGAATAAAAATGTCGTAGAGTTTGTCTACCTTGTCAGCGCTCTAAGATCCACAAACACAACCACCTCTCACCAGAAAAGATCGACATGCCAAACCATTTGACCACGTTCACCTCGACATTGTAGTTATGCCATTACAACAAAACTATCGGTACTGCCTGACTATGATTGATAGATTTACGCGATGGCCAGAAGCTGTACCTCTCTCAAATATTACTGCAGAGACAATAGCTAAGGCGATCTGGACTCACTGGATATCTCGATTTGGTTCTCCGAAAACGATAACTACGGACAAAGGAACACAATTTGAGTCAGCAGTTTTCAAACATCTTGCTAATCTGGTTGGAAGTAAACACATACACATACACGATGGCCTACCATTCTCAGTCAAACGGACTCATAGAGAGGTGGCACAGATCCTTTAAGTCATCTTTGATGCGCAATAGAGGTACTCCGTGGCCGAAGTTACTGCCAACAGTTTTGCTTGGACTTCGTACCTGTTACAAGGAGGACATCAAATCTTCAGCCTCAGAAATGGTATACGGAATACCTATTCGACTGCCAAATGAGTTTTTACCAACTTGGACGATACGGTTACCCCCACCTCTTTTTTGAGCATCTTTCGAGAGCACATGCAACAAGTGCGACCGACATTAACAGCACATCATACCAAGCAGAAGATGTTCTTATTGAAAGGGATCGATAAATGTACGCATGTATTTCTCCGCACTGACGCCGTGAAGCAGCCTCTGGAAGCCCCTTACACTGGTCCTCATGAGATTGTAAGACGCGAAAACGATCGTGTTTTCACTATAATACTCAATGAGCATGAGACTGCAGTATCAGTTGATCGCCTCAAACCAGCATTCTTAGTAAAGGACGACCGCCAGTTGGATGCAAAAGAAGTTACCCCTAGACTGACCAGGACATATGAGAGAAGTCATAGAGTTAAATTTTCAAACCAGGATTTGTGACGCATTCACTGGAGGGGGAGTGCTGTGGCAACCTAATATGCCAGCAGCGCCAACCGAAGCTTGCCAGCGGACTAAAAAGAACAATGTGGCAACACTTAAGAACTTGATCGGCGAAAACCAGCGAGCTACCCACGTGTGTTAATAATATTCATTATCTTTGTATTCCTAAATCTAAATAAACTTAAATGGCAAATATACTTCGCCATAGCTCAACACTCCTGCTGGTGCTGAAAAAAGCTGGTCACTCTATTTTGGAATATGTGAATGCAAAATGTAAATTATTTGAAATGGGGCGCGCGAAAATCATACAAGAAGGCATATTTATATTAAAGTTGTTAAGCTGAGTATCGGGTATTTAATAGCGTTCTCTCTTGTTTTCCTTGCTCTTGACGTCGGATTTAACTACGGCCAGGCTAGTTGCGAGTTTCGAGGTCACTGTCACTGTAAAAAAAAAAATTACTTAAAAAATGGAGAACATTTTAGAAAGTGAATTTTGTCACGTGTGTAATTATTTTTCGTATAAATGTTGATATCAGCCCTTTTGTATGTTGAAGGTGCGATCGTCACTGGTTTATTACCTCGTTAAGAGGTTGTTTTATAAAATAGAGAAAAGTTACAAGAACAAACATATTTTAGAACTTTCTTTTATATTTTGAATGCTATTATAATTGTACATGTTTGATATGTAAGTACATTCATGGAGGGATCACTACTGCAATTTTGACCACAGCTTTATATTTTTACGTTTTATTGCTGTTTTCCTTTATATTTTTCTTTCTTAAAAAAATTCTAAAATTACACTATGCAGCATCAAAAATGTACCTCGATGGATGCTATATTTTTGGATTCGTTACGAATTCCCAAGTTAAACTGCGTTTTCCAAAAAGCAAAAGGACCTCAAAGTTCGAAAAATGGTGAAATTGGCCTACTTTCCAATACTCTCAGAGGCAAATGGATGCAAGGTTTGATTCGATGTTAAAGTTTTTAAAAAGATACACTCTTTATCTTTCAAACCCCAGGAGGCGCTGCGTTAGAACCCGCTTTTTCCACAGTCCGACAAGCCTTTATATTGCGTAAAGAAAACGGCTCGGAGACGCAATACGAGAACTTGACTGACGCGAGTTAGCGATTCCTCGTGGACAGGTTTGATGGCCGCGTTGCGTAGAGAAAGCGGCTCGGAAACGCAACTGATTAACCTAGCTGTCACGAGACACAACTCAAAGCTCACCCTTACATTCACCAGACCCAGGGTTTCTTTTCACTAGTTCTGTTCCTTAGTTTTACTCTTATTTTTCCTAACCTATGCTATGCTAATACTCTAATTTAGTTCGGGGACCCTTGTCTCCGCCGTGACCTTCCGATCCTTGTCGCTGCGCTTGCGCTCCGTAGAAAGCCGAAAAATATGTGTGGGTAATCCAAAACTTTCTAGCTTTCGTAGTTTCCGAGATCTTAAAGTTCATAAAGACAGACAGACAGGCGGACAGACAGACAGGCGGACAGACATGGCTATATGGAACGCTTCCTTCTCCTTGTTACATACTTTTGTAAAACCATAAATTTAAAAATGCGATTACATTTGTTTAAACTTGCAGAAGCCAATCCTTTAAAGAAGATGATGGAACCTGGAAAGGTAATGATGATGGAAAAGTTGTGAATAATCAACCACAAAGAGTTATGGATGATAGGAATGGAATGATGGCACAAGCGGGATATATTGGCAGGTAATGTAACTTAACTCATTCACTTTTAAAATTGTTACATTTACGCTTTAGGTTTTTCAAAATTATTATTTCGTAAAGCATAAGAGTAATTTTTATTGTTTTTCCAAAGATGTATAAGATATCAAGCAAACACCTCTTGACAAATGTTAAAAATTTGTGTCGATCTCACTTGCAACATACAAAAGTTCTAATATACAATTTTTGGCTGAAAGTACACAGCCAAAAATTTTCACGCACCATTTCAGTTTTCCATGATAATTGGGTGCTCCTGAGTAAAAGTCTCATACAAACTTATGTATATATGTCCCATCACCTACAGGTTCCGCGGTATAGCAAAGAATACAAAAAACCTATGTTTGCCGACATTTCGAATTACACTGTGCAGCATTTTTAGTGCTTTTTAAATTTACCTCGATGGATGCTATATTTTTGGATTCGTTACGAATTCCCAAGTTAAACTGCGTTTTCCAAAGAGTTCCCCGACGCAAGGATTCTTAGCAAAAGGACCTCAAAGTTCGAAAAATGCTGAAATTGGCCAACTTTGCGGAGCTCTCAGAGGCAAATGGATGCATGGTTTGATTCGATGTTAAAGTTTTTTAAAAGATACACCCTTTATCTTTCAAACCCCATACTTAAAAAATTTTTAAGATTTTTTTTAAGGCAGAAACAAATTCTAGAAAACATAGTCAAAAAACATAAAAGTATACAGCAGCGGTCAAAATGGTAGTAGTGATGCCGCCCTGTGTATTTAAAAGTTTGTTGTTGTAATTGATCTTTTCCTGGTAATATTGTATTGATTATAATTTTACTATTAGACTAATTGGATAAGAAAAAATTACAACATCAAACTTTTAAAAACACAAGGCGGCAACACTGCTACTATTTTGACCGCAGCTGTATGTTTTTCAGTTTTTTGACTATGTTTTTTGGAATTTATTTCTGCCTTAAAAAAAATCCTAAAATTATTTTATGTATGGGGTTTGAAAGATAAAGGGTGTATCTTTTAAAAAACTTTAACTTCGAACCAAGCCATGCATCCATTTGCCTCTGAGAGCTCCGCAAAGTTGGTCAATTTCAGCATTTTTCGAACTTTGACGTCCTTTTGCTAAGAATCCTTGCGTCGGGGAACTCTTTGGAAAACGCAGTTTAACTTGGGAATTCGTAACGAATCCAAAAATATAGCATTCATCGAGGTTAATTTTTGATGCTGCATAGTGTTATCTGGCCTATAAAATTGATATATTGATCGACTTTAATAAAGTTTGCCTCGAGCGCCCACAAACTTCCATAACGCCTAAACTTAACGTAAAACGTCTCAATGGTCATGAAGAATTCTATGATTATTTGACACATACTTGAAATTTTGCTTCAGACTTAAGTTTGTTTTAATCATCACCATCATTTTTTAATAATAATAATTTTAAAAATTTTGACGTCAAATTAGAGATACATAAAAAACTTTTTAAGTTAAAAAGTTAACATGCCTTCACAAAAAATATTTACTAAGAGCCACATTTTTCACAATAGATTAAAAAAGCTTAATGTTAAAATAACAATCTAAACTATTACACTAGTTTGCAGCAAAAAAACGTACACATTGAGACCAATTTTGTTCGATTAGTTTTGAGTTGTTTGTTTTTTTTTTTAAATTCTTTCTTTTGCCTTTTCTCTGATATAAATGTTGTTAAAATGGTTTAAAAATGTGATGTTCCAAATCTTATGGCATACCCGCAGATAACTGCATTTAAATTTTTTGGAGATTCAGCATCCTTAACCAAGTCCCCAATATTTTCAAATTTGGCTAATCTAATGTGACCTCACGGCCTCCCCATATGTATGTATTTATGTTTTGCTGGCGCACTTTGTATGTATGTATGCTGCCTGCTGTCGCACTTTAAGTGTGACCGCGCAAGGGGAAAATGAAAATACCACATTTAAAATGCGCGGTTAAATAATCGATTATATCGCAAATATTTTCTTTGCGCCTTATTTTTAGGTAAACGTTAAATTTAAAATATCGGAAGACTTACAGAAATCCCATTAAGCTGATTTTTATAGTCGAATTTTTCCTTAAAACTGCTTTTATTTTATTTATTTATTTGTTAGATTCGTTTAAATTAAAATTAATGATAATACTAATATCCTTTTGCATAAAAAAATTGTATTTACATTTTTGCAACAGATTGAAGACATTTTCTTGTACATTTTTGTGTTTTAAAATGCAAATAGCATTGAAAGTATTAAAAAAAAAACTAAAAATTTAAATCAATTTGATTCACGGCATCCCTTTCCACCTGCCTTCCTTATCTAAATCAATATTTGTCTTTATTAAAAAAACGGTCAGTAGCAAATTCCACCCAGATCGGATTGACTTAAAAATCTAGAAAAATTACAGTAATTACTAAAATAATTAGGAGCCGCGTAAGGAATACTTTGTAGAACAAAAAACGACCCCAAAGTGCCCTAAAAATCGATTTGTTTTTTTTTTAATTTTTTCTTTTGCCATTTCTCTGTTATAAATGTTGTTAAAATGGTTTAAAAATGTGATGTTCATAATCTTATGGCATACCCGCAAATAACTGCATTTAAATTTCTTGGAGATTCAGCATCCTAAACCAAGTCTCCAATATTTTCAAATTTGGCTAACCTGATGTGAAGTCACGCCTCCCCATATGTTTGTATGTATGTTCTGCTGGCGCATGTATGTATGTATGTATGTCCTGCTGTCGCACTTTAAGTGTGACCGCGCAAGGGAAAAATTAAAATACCACAGCCAACAGTTTTAAAACGAAACTACCACACTAAAAATACGTTTAAAATTCGCGGTTAAAAAATCGATTACATCGCAAATCTTTTCTTTTGCGCCTTTTTTCCTAAGTAAACGTTAAATTTTAAAATATCGGTAGACCTTACAGAAATCCCATTAAGCTGAATTTTACAGTCAAAATTCTCCTCAAAATTGCTTTTGTTTTTTAAAATGCAAAAGCCCGATCAGCAAACTGTTTATTAGTTTTCATATGTTGAGTTATCGACAAACTTTGGAATTGTAAAAAACAAAAACAAACAATGATTTGCTCTGCTATGTACACACACATGCACAAAATAAATATATCTAAAAAATGCGCATTTTACACACACAGTCATTAGATACATATATGCGTGTGTACGTTTGTGTTTGTGCATTGCAGCTGACTAAGGAATTGAGATTCGATCAAATTCAAGACAATACTGATATCCTTTTGCTAAAAGAATATTTCATTTACATTTCCACAACATACTTAGGGGAGAGTGGGGGAATTTCGTCAGCATTTTTTCAAAGCTATTTTTTGTCCATCTTGAGACACGTTATCATATTTCTATTTTTATTGTTGAATGCGGTTAGCACCAAGCTTTAAAATGTGACATTCCCCTATTTTTTTAATTACCTTGGTGATTTATAAAAAAATAAAATGTAGAACCAATATACTGGGGAAATCTCGTCACACAGGGGGGCAAAATCACCACACCACCGGGGCAATTTCGTCACCTGAAAAATGTAGGGAGTTTAACGCCTGTAAATATGCTACACTGATCAAGCGTACCATTTTTGTTGACGTCCTATATTTGTTGCTGCTGCTGGTAGTCTGTTGGTTAGCCAGCTCGTCAAATATAAAAATATGTATTTAAAATAGGTGCGAATTTACCCTTAGCGTAGGGTGGCGAAATTTCCCCAGACAGTCCTTTTTTAGAAATAATGATTTTTCTTCCGAAATTAGGCGCGAAGTTAAAAATCACTGACGCAGAAATGCACATTATAGCACTGTGTATTATATAAAAAATCGTGTATCTTATTCCTTTTGAATTGTGGCATACAGAAAAAATTTCGTCGAGAACTAAATGTAGCTTTTGAACTGTTAAAACACATTTAATATTATAGCTTAATTATCTTGGCCTTCTGTGCTAAACAATTGCATTGGTTGTGTCTGGCCGTCTTGAAGGACTAAAACAAAAAAATTATATATTTTTACGACTTATGGATTCCGAGATATTGCAGGTGACGAAATTGCCCCTGTGACGAAATTCCCCCACTCTCCCCTACATAAGACATTTTGTAACCGATTTTTGTGAACTAAAATTCAAATCGCATTGATAATATTAAAAGAACATTAAATACTCAAACCAATTGATTCTCGTGCTCTTTATTACACGTGCGTCATATTGTTTAAACAAATTCAAATGTTTAAACAATTTGATTCACGGCTTCCCCGCTCACCTGCCTTCCTTATTATTAATATAATTCTAATCAAGGTGAAAAATTAATGTGAAAACAAAAATACTGAAACAAAATATCAATGGTAAAATGCAGTAATATGGAATTGCCTTTCTTAATGTCTTTTCCTAAATTAATCGAATATATAAAGCAAAACATTGCTTCGCATAAATAATGGTTTCCCTACAGTGGATTACCTAAATCGTAAAGAGTATTTGGTTTTTATTTACCTTTTCGTTACCTAAACAAAAACATTTCCTGTAACTTCATAAATCTTAACCAAAATAATAATATTGGTTTGGAGAGCTATCTTTTAGAGAAAGAGGTATGCTTAAACAATGTTTTGGTGTATTTTTTTAAGAAAACAAGCTTATTTTCTAGATTTACTCGCTAATCGATTTAAAGGTATGCATAATTTTCAGTTTTAATTTCCGCAGGCGAAGCTGCGGGCTACAGACCCTGCTAGTTATTAAAATTATTCTAATCAAGGTGAAAAATTAATGTGAAAACTTGTAATGCTGAAATCGAGCCGATACCAAATAGAAGTAAGAACGCCGAATTTACGTGCGCACACGACAAACGTATTTTATTGAGTAAGTCATATAAAGCATCATCGAGCGAGAGAAACAAGAAGAAAAAGGAATAGAAAAAACTATTGCTTAGAGATGTGCAAGTAGAACGATATACCTTGTAAACTTCAACACTTCTTCTCAAGTTAGATTGTTCATTACAATTTTTCATTTAAACCAAG